GACTGTTCGAAATGGTTTAAATACATTAATATCAGACATCTTTGACTTTGGATATCAGAACATCTCCATTAACCTCCAGAAAAAGGCAACGAGATATCGCTTAGTAGTGTAATTTGTTACCATTTCAACCCAACCTAGTCTTATTTTGGAAGAAAGTATATATCTTGTAGGCCCTTGGAGTCAGTCTCTGTCGAACAACGATTAGATTTGAAAATTTGAAAAAGATATCAAGGCGAAAACCTGTTCCACAATCTTTTCATATCGACGTGAATAACATATTCTTTTCACTTTTTGATCCTATCCTAGTCTTACATTGGAACAAGTTCTATCTTGCGAGTACTTCTTATTGGCCCTTTGAGTATAATATTCCTTTTCTGTTGAACTACTCAGATTAAATTTGAAAATTTAACAGGTTAATATTGTGTTATTGGACTGGTGTTATTGGACTGGTGTTATTGGAAGATAAAATATAAAACGTGAGAGACAATAACAGTAACGCTACACTACTCCACTGACATATTTCCTTCCGATAATTCTATCAAACCCTATTAGTCTCGCTTAAACAGTCTTCAACTAAGTTTTCTCTTTCTATATTGATGACCTAAGTAGGTAATATGGTAGGAGTTTTATTTATTGAACAATATAATGCTTTGTCTGATTCTCATCCGAGCTCAATCGCTCTGTTTTATTTTCTTAACTCGTTATAGACCAGGGGTTTTCAACTTTTCCCTTTTTATTACCTTTTTCAGGATCCTTGATCGATTGCATTACCCATTTCTCCATAAATCCTTACTATTTAGTGATTTCCAATTTTATAAGCATACATCCCATTCATTACTGATACTGTTTTAACTTTACGAAGGCTGTCGAGAGTTGCCTTTATTATCCTTCGTATTTTGGCGAATTCAACGATGGCAATACAACTGAAAAATCCAAATGTATTGCTATAAACATTTGCTTGTCTCGTTGTCTCAACTCGTGCTCAATTCGTGACAAAGTAAGAACTTTTTGTTGGCATGTACGTGTTCGGAATTTACGAAGAGAAAATCAAATCTAAACCTGCCACAGACTCCAGATTTGTAAAGTGCTTAAGTCGACCAAACACTTTATTTAAGCTAAAATATCTGTAATATCTGAATGAGAGTATAAAATGATCAGACTATTTACGGCAATAAGGATAAGAATGAATAAGTATTCTTTCTGATATTGATGCAGTTAATTTTGAAAGCTAGTATAATTATGAGACTGTCCACGGAACGTCTCCATTAAATTGCCAATGAACCGAAACTCGAGTATTAATTCTGATAGTGCAGAAAGGCAATATTGAGCACTGTCAGCTGGTAAAACAAATAAGAGACGTTTAAGCACGGAGATGAGCACAGCATAATCGTTGTTCCAACCAGTATAACAAGTAATATATGGAATATCGATTTCATATTATAATCAAAGACTTTATGTCGAATGTTTATCTTTTATAATTATTACTCAAAAAGAAGGATATAAGGGTCTCAGCACGGCTTACAACTTATAGTTTCCAACGTGCTAACGAACGTACAGCGTGGCTACAGTAACTTTCTGATACTTTTAGCCTGTATTCGATGTTAAAGAAGATACTCTCCTAAAGAAACTTTGACCATGGTCATAATATGAAGAGAACATACATTTTTTACATTTCAATATATATTTATATAAGATTGAAACTATTTAATGCTAACAAAATTAATAGTATTGTTTAGTGTCGATTATTATGGAGTTTTGAAATCTACTCTCGACGTTAAGTAGGCTACAACATCATGAAACATAGATAATGGAATTGTGTCATCTGTCACTAAGAAAAATTGTAACGGGAAACAGGACAGCCACTAACACATTATTTGATTAAAAGTTAAAACCCAGAGGCTATAAAAAGTGTAATATCTAGTTATAAGGCTTCAGAAATTACGACTGTAAAACGAGTTTGCATTCTTTCCAACTCCTGGATGACCAGGACTATTGAATCGTGTCAGCTGTTGTCACTATGAGAACTCGAACAGGAAGACAATGTAACGAGTTGTACATTATTTGATTAGCATTACGTAAAGTAGTTGATTAATTTCCAGTATATGTAGGCGTTGTTTTATAGATCTGTCAACTGGGGAATAATTAAATGTATCTGATACCTTCAGCGTGAGAGCAGTCCAAGTCCAGCGAGATAGACGTGTCCTTGTTAGCCTGAAGCTCCCAATATAGGTCAAAGTAATATCTTTTCCCAAACTGTATCCTTTTGTCATTTATGCAGATCAGAGAGTCTGGCATATATAAAAGAGTCAGGGGCCCCTTGTTTACAAGCAGAGTACTCTAATGGGCTGTTGATTCGATCCGTGTTATAACAATAGTCAGATCGCGATCCTTTATCGTTTTATTTCCGTTACCACTTGTTACCATTAGTTGTTAACACACATTTATCGGATTAACTAAGAAGAAAAAATGTGTCCAGTCTTTTCTATCTTGTATTGATTTCACACAAAGATGACAAAAACTGGTTCATGCATTATCATTCAATAAAACTGTGATGTTATTGTTAATCAAAAAATAAGATAACAAGCAATTTGTTGCTGTTTACACATATTAGAGTATAATTATAGATCTAATTGTTAGGATAAACACGTTATCTAAAATCTCATTACTTAAACCCTTGCACTAAAATTATAAATCAATATATTACAGAAATTTTCTCTTAATTGATACACATGGTGTTTGAACGGAAGAACATTTGAGGCCAATGGTCTAGAAATTTCAAAGTATACATTGGATTCTGTCAACAGTTTAAGATATAAAAAGTAAATATATCAAATGATTGTGCAAGTTCAACATTTTTTGACCAATTAAGCTTTATTATATCTGCATTATGCAAAGATCCGAAAATTGTTACTGTAAACACGTGTAGGTTTTTTTTTATAATTCACTTTGTTCGAAAACTTTTACCATATGCTTTGCTACAATTGCCCAATGTGGATATTTGGTTTTTGGGGAATATTAAATTGTGATATGGGTTTCTTAAAAAGGACAGTGACGTTAATCTTAGTCTTTTGGTGTCTGGCTAGTTGCCCAAAGAATTCGGGGGCGTGAGATAAAATGACGTTAATTGGTGAATGTAATAAAAATGAGTAAAAGCAACACAATTGAGTCAATCAAAAATCTTGTCCAAAGAATCGCAAAATCGAGTGTAAAAGTTGTATAGATGTGGACTCTTCCAATGAGAAGTGCCATTAGGTGTTTCGATTGTCTGCTTCGCACACAACACCCGCCATGTCCTGGGATTTTACTTTTAGCTCTTGAAGATAGACCTTATGATGGTAGACACTTGAACGTTCTGGATGTTGATATCAGGCATTATTCAATAATACTGATTTTCTGCTAGAGAGTTTTGTTTTGATTCTTGTTCTGTTACAGATCACCCATATCGACTTTCAATGTATATCTCCTTTGAATTGACATATAGGCGGGTCGTGCATTGTTTACGCGTTTCCGATCAAGATTTACTGTACGAAAGTACCAGAGTAGTAAAATTCCAGTTCGAAAGAAATTGTCTATGGGTGTGTATACTACGTAATGCCTTCATAAACACACCTGTTCGTCATCGTGGGAACTTTATTGTTATTGTTTTTTTTTTATACCAAGCATGTCCTACTATAGGTTAGACTACACTCCTTTTGGTCTGTTTTCAAGATATATTTTGTTTTTATGCTGTCGAAATTCAAACTTCAGTTCATTCCACTTTAAATTTTTCACCTCCCAAGATACTTTTAAAGCTTGCGTTATTTACGACTTTAGGATAGTAAATATATCAGAAGGCTAGCTTCAACTTCCAATTTGCTATGGCTTAATCTTGGGTGGTCAGGAAAAGATACTGAAAGGATGACTGAAACTAAGTGCCTAACCAAACCATGAACTACATTCTGTCAACCTAATTCTTATTCCAGTATCCTGTCTGCCATAAATCTGGTGATACGATAAAATCATTGTACTATAGATAGAATAACAAGATAAGTGGCATCGACACACAACTAATAGAATTATATAATGGAAATCCAGGAAACTCTGTAATGGACATGAAATGAAATACAAACAATGTATTGATATCGGACGACTAATCGTCTTGGTTGATTTGTCTCAATGTAAATTTGGTTGGTCGGTTTGTCTGGTTGGACCATCAGCAATCGACCTGAATGTGAAATGTGTTCCATGTATTCAGCACTAATTCAGTTATTCAACATTGCTCAGTTATTTTACTTAGGAAACGGTCACAATATGATTCCATAACTGTCCAAAACTGAACTGAAATCTCATGGTACGTTGTATTCTTTATCTACCCATGTCTTTCTACTGGGATTCAATACCGTCTGAGTAAATGAATGGTGCTCTGACGAATGGTCTGAGTAAATGAATGGTCTGAGTAAATGAATGGTGATCTGACGAATGGTCTGAGTAAATAATGGTACTCCTACAACTTTGCCTGATAATAAAACACACACTACCATTCTCCAACACACGACCTGTCCGTGGTACCAAGATCGGAATCTATAGCCCTCGTCATCAGGACAAACATCCTTACCTGCTCCTTGTAACTCGATGGTGTTTTATCAAAGTTTGTTTTCAAAAAATGTAATAGCAGGACAATAACACAAACTTGCCTTTTTTAATTCCAACACCCCATTTCGAATATTTGAATACCTTTAGGTGCTAGTATATTGTAACCAATAATATTTTTCTATATCATTTATTAACTTATCAGCCATCTCCTACTATAATATTGTCTATAAAACCGGCTTTATGGGTAAAATGTGACTAAATTTAGTTCCCTAGGGTGATGGATGGGAGCCATCGAGATTATTATGATAGTCAAATAAAACGCACACAAAGCGCTTTTTCTCATTTATCAGCCTCGGGTTAGATCTAACTCGGTAAATCAGATCATAATCTCATTTCCTACTGTAAATGTAAATGAAGCCGGTGGTAATATGGGGTTTTTAAATAGATGTCAGAGGAAGTCACGTGATAAAGCAAGTTAGTGATATTATCAGATTTCTAAAAAGTTGTCAGCGGAAATCAGATATGAGTTTCTGAATGGGAAGTAAGGTGGCATCATCAAAGTTTCTACATAGTTATCAGAGGAAGTCACGTGATAAAGGAAGCCTGTAATATTATCAAGTTTCTAAGTTGTCAGAGGAAGTCACGTGGTGCAGGAAGTCAGTGATATTATCAGGTTTCTAAACAGTTGTCAGAGGAAGTCAGGTGGGGAGTAAGTCAGTGATATTCTAGGGTTTCTGAATAGGAAGAAAGGTAGTATCATCAAATTTTCTACATAGTTAATAGGGGAAATCAGGTGATAGAGGAAGTCGGTGATATTGTCAAGTTGCTATATAGTTGTCCGATATAGCGAAGGAAGTTGGTGGTATTATGAAGTTGTTTCTTAATAGTCTAAATTTGAAGTCATTGGGCATCATCAAAGTGTCATAATAGTTATCAGAGGAAGTCAGGTGATAAAGGAAGTCGAAGGTATTAACCAGTTTCTATATTGTTCGAATAATTAAAGTGGTAAAGGAAGTCGGTGCTATAATGGGGTTTCCATATAGTTATCAGCGGAATTCAGATGATTGTTATGGTTGTAGGGATTTGGAATAGATTGCGAGGAAATGGTGTATGGAACGTGATTTCTATAGTTATGTCAGGGGCATACGTTAGTTTCTTAAGGAAGATGGTTTCTATAGAGTTGTCAGAAGCAGGTTGATAAAATTATCGAGTGGTAAGCATCTTGAAACGTAATTGAGCATCAATAACACCTTGAGATTAAGAAAAACCGCCTCTCCCATAAAAGGATTAAGAAAACCCAAACCCTTTTCTCCTACTACATTTTTCACAGCCCTGACCTTGGATAATGTATGGCGGTTTATCATAGTTAACAGTATTAAAGTCTGTCACCAATGTCTCGTATTTCAGTTGAGAAATGAAGAAATATGAGACAGCTACTGCGACATCTTAACAACCTGTCACTTGACTTTGTCCAAGAATAAACAATTATTCAAATTAGATTCAATTACATATGCATTATAATAAATGATTCACACAAAGGCGTCCGTGTTCGTGTTAGTCCGAAATACTCTTGTCCACCATATATATCGCGTTCAGGTGCTATATAACCCGTTTTGGTGCTGATGGACCTTAATGTATTTCATTTCATTTTGTCCACATAGGCATCTGTCAAAATTGAAGTCCATTTGATTATCTGCTAATTGATTATCAATGTTCTATAAATGAAAGACATTTATGCACACTTCTGTACAGGAATAATACAGTTTCAGATTTAATTAGTATCTGAGTATACTTCAGTAAACGAGTTGCGTATTAAGCTAGAGCTTATTTTGAAGTGAAAGTTTGTCTTGTAATGTATACATTACCTATGAAATTACTTTAACTTAGATTGAATTGTTATATTTTGAATATCTGGAAATATTTCAATCGTCCCTGTTTGTAGTGGCATGTAAATTCAATCATAAAAAATCGTGTTATTCACTAAATAAAACATAAGATTAAATCGAAGAGAAAAGGCGGAAGTAAATTAAAGGTATTATTATCATCGCAGTTTCTCTTAAAGATCATGCTGGTAATTTTTCGATAAAATTCAGACAAAAAATGTAACAACATGTTATTATCATCAGTATATCTGTATATTGCTATGGTGATAGCTGTAATTGGGTATAAAAAAAGTAATAACATTTCATTATTTAAAAAATTCTCTTTAATTCCACAGCTTGTTTTGACACGTTTGAAATGTCAGCATTTTCATCCTAGTTGTTAGAAATTAACACATCTGCTCTCGTATTTCTGTCATATTCACCCTGTCCTTCAATCTAATTTAAATGCTGAAAAGCCATCATAAGAACAGTTTAGAGTGATCTTCTTGACTTTTCTGTCAAGAAAAGTTAACGTGATACGCTTATTCTAATACATGACAGTCTAATCAGAAACAAAAATATTCTGTCCAGTCCATTTAACGGCCATTTTTTTCTAGCTTCACCTGAAATGTTACATACATATTTAAAAAGACAAGTGCTCTATTATCTTTGACTAATCATACTTTAGTCTCAAAAACGGGTTTCCGGTTATCCGCGTTTTAATGTTAAAATGACGACTCTTCTTTTCAAGATAATAGAAAAGACATTATATACATATATAGAAATAGTAGAATTCCTAGTTTTAAGTATTTTTAACCGAAATAGGCGATTTTCTAGTACTTTTGAGTTACTTCTGACAAAGCCCCAAAATGGCCCATCTGTCCCTTGAATGTTATTCTATAGTGACGTGGGGTGCGAAGAGGGAAAATATCTTAAGTCATTGAGTTATTAGATACCTGGTGCTATTTGTCAACGCTCCCTGACCATTCTGTGGCTCCTACTTGGCCCGTTATCACTAATGATTCAAAGGTACGCCCTTGCTGTTTTTGTTCTTCGTAAGATCTCGTTGATCTACTTCAAAGATCCATCACCTTTTGAAAACAAAAACCAAGAGCACAAGTGTACACAGAATAATTTACGCAGTACATATATAGAGTATTGAATGGCCGTCATATCATTAGACAAGTGTTAATGAACGAGACAATTTAAATATTATTAAGGCTATTAGTACAATTTTTTATAATTTGCAAGAAAGGATATTGCCCTACGAAGGAATGTGAAAATCGTCTGGACCAAGACTATGTGCCTTATTCTCCTTAACGTTATAAAAATCAGATTTCAAGAAATACAGTAATCTGATTGGATAACAAAACAAAAGTTAAAATAAATTTTAGTGAATGACCAATCAGATGACTTGACATACTAAAATCATCTTAAGTTTAGTTATCCAGAATAAGGCTCCAGAGCACCAATTGACCTGCCTTTCGACGTCCGACGTCTAAGTAAGAAAATACTGGACAAGTGGAAAATGGGTAACAGAACCTGTAGATATATCTCAGTTGGTATGGTTTTGTCTTAGAAATTGGGTTTCTCTGTGATGATCGTTTTTACCTAGCTTTGTCTTCGGAGAGCATGGTTATTAACAACCTAAACGCCAAATCAGCCTTAACGGATATTAGTAAAATGTGCTTGCTTAATAAAGTATTGTTAAATTTAAGAATCCTAAATTGTTTAATGGTTACGGCACGAAACTATTCAGATGCCTAAAAAGTTGAACCGTTGGCCATCGTGAAATAAAGTCCTTCACATTTAACATTTATCATAAAAATTAAATACATATATCAATATGAAAAGATTTGAATGAACGCCGGTGCTCCCAACAGATTTCCAGAACATTCAACCGACTACATGGCTTCATGCAGAGCAAGACCATGTGCTACAGCTGATGTTAATTCGAGGGATTTAGAGAATATCTATTGCTATTGGTGGATAAAGTCAATCACAGTGTGACCAAGCCATGGGATCAGTGACCACAGATAGATGTTTGATAAACAGAACAGTTTATTGACCCTAAAACTGTATCAACTGAATGATGTTGTACCTGATGATCCGATGTAGATGAAAATAAACCAGGATGCAATTTTTGTTATCACTCCGAATAAAAGATATATTAACAGCTATGGTTTCGAATTAATTTCAAACGATATATTCATATGTTTCTCGTGCAAAGCGTACATAGCACAAAGTTCGTTCACCGATAAAGAACAAGAACAATTTGAGAGGAAGACAGCTTATGTAAACACAACTAAACGAATTATCAATGAAAGAATTATTACAAATATAATTTATAATAATAAATTTTTATCGCCTTGTCAATCAATTGCCGTACATCTGTAAAGGTTTTTTGTTTTCACTTGATGTTGTAATCCGAGGACCTCCTCTCTTTGTATAAATTCATGTGTATATGTAAAAGTCTTTTTTTTATAACTTATGTTTGTCTCTGCGGTGAGCTTACAATCTGGGAAATGGTGGCCATTGTTGTGATGAAAACGCAAGACCTCTAACACTCTCCTTTAATTTACTGCATACTGCACGACCATTAATTGTATGGAACCTTCTGTATTCAATTAAGTTTTGTCAATCTGCCAACTACCGATCTACAAATCTAAATCTTAAACAGTATTCAAAGTCTGAAAAGTATAGCATGCTGTTCACATTAAAATTGTCATTCCTTAATTGTCAAAATTACTTAATTTTCTGTACGCTAGTCTATACAAATTCTCGATCGTTTACCGCGTTTTCCCACTTGGAAACTTTGCATTTATCTCTTTGGCCCCCATTTGCAAAATACAAAATTAGATCGTTAGAAACCACCAACAAATATATTGTAGACTGTTTCGGATTATGATAGATCAAGAAATGATTATAGATTATAACAATATTGATATCATGTATTTCATCATTTCATATTGATATAACACTGTCTATTGTAAAGAGATCGATCAATTTACAATAGTTCACATTGATTACACTGATTCTTTCATCTTGCCGCTCTACACTTTTCATTCACCAGTATTTAAATATAAAATATTATCACTTTTACATTATAACATTCTACCTGCCACGTTATTTAAAATCATGGATTATGAAGAATAAGAAGAAGAAACATGAATTACAGGTCTTTGTTACAGGATAAAGTTGATTTATATTTGTACCATTATCAGACAGTTCATCCTTTTTATATTCATCTTAAAGGGACACGTTCACTATCCGTTCAATATATCGCACCTCGGTCTCAGAAACCGCAATTGTTTATGTTTAGCTAAGCTAATGAGTAATGGTGTTCAACGGTAACCATCGAGAATTAAGCCTTCTTATCCATGTATCGTCTTTTAAGAGACTTCATTTGAAACCCAATTTCCATGAAAATAAATGGTATAAAAAGTCGATATATGAGAATAACATTGTGTAAAGCTATTATTTAAAACCAACGTAATTTGATAAGCTCTTGTATGATATGATTTCTGGTGAGAAAATGTAATTTCCTTGAATAAATAAAAGATGTAAATTTAGAGAGAATATCTACTGTTACAAGTAATTGAATCACACGTG